TTATTCTACCGCTATTACATTAACATCACATTTATTAGTTTTTCTCTTATCGAAATGAAAACTCTCAATGAGTGCGGGGTGCCAAACCTGTGGTCGATGGACTCTCAAGCAGCATTACAAAGTCAAGAAATTGAAATTGGGAGTTTGAAGACAAACACTAATAAGAGTTGAAGAACTATATAGCAAATAAAAAGATGACCCAGAATAGTTAGATCTCAGGCTACTATTCTAACTTACGTGGCCTAAGAAATAACCCAGAATCACCTCCCAGTTTTACGAGTAACAAACAAGAGATTTTCAAACATCAACAAATCTCACTCGTAGAATCACAAAACCAAGCAGATCAACCGAAAACACAGTCAAAAACCCTAGATCCGACAAGAAACAGAAGTAAACAACCTCAAAGCCCTAGATCTCGGAGAGAACACAGACGAAACCCTAGCAGATCCGCGAGTGAATCAATCGGAAACTTCATTGAAAGTTTACCTTTCGGAAATCGCGAGGAGCGACGCCGGGGAGGTAGAAGGCGGTGGTAGAGGTGAAGAGGAGGAGGCACGAGAGGACGAAGAAGGCGGCGACGCCATTAAGATCTCCCATCTCGAGCTCGATCCTGATAGAGGAGAGAGAATGAAAGTGGAATTTTCAGCGTGACGGGGAGAAATATAAAAGAGGACAAATTTTCAAAACCAACCTATTTACAAATTTAATAGCAGAAAACAACCTATTTCAGATTTAATTGCAAAAACCGACCTGGTTTCAGCCCTGGAGCTGAAACCAGGTCGGTTTTTGAAAATTTTTATCCGAAACTTCACGGGAGTTGAACTCCCGTGAAGTTTCGTAGTTCAAATTTTTTTTTTTTTGTACTGGGAAACTTCACGGGAGTTCAACTCCCGTGAAGTTTCGAAAGTTTTTTCACAAAAACCGACCTGGTTTCAGCGCCAAGGCTGAAACCAGGTCGGTTTTTGCAATTAAATCTGAAGTGGGTTGTTTTCTGTGATTAAATTTGTAAATAGGTTGGTTTTGAAAATTTGTCCATATAAAAGATTTGGAGATTTGTGAGTGTCGTGGGTTAAAAAATGCGAGGGTGATTTTGCATATTGGTCCAAGCATGGATTATTCAGTAATTTTCCTTAATTACTGTGCAGTCACTATTTGATTTTGGATAATGACAAGACTAAAACTCTGTACTCTCTTTTTACTGCCAAAAACGAGCGGCGTCCTTCCCTAGTGAATGGACATAAAAAACGGTAAATCCAAGCATCACTAATTTTGTTTCTTTTATAATATGGGAGCACTTATTTGACTTTGAATTTAACTCACCAACATTATTACTATTTACCAATTAAAAATATTATTTACCAACTCAATTATTGTTTCTTATATATATATAATATATATATATATATATATATATATATTAGGAATATGGGTATGCTTGGTACCATGCACAAATTTTGTGCTTGGTAGTAAGATGGCATATTATCCTCCACTTATTCAAAATCCTTGATAAACTTTAGAAAGATTATCCTTGTCTCTGTTTATGTCTCGGATTGGACAAATCACCAATAATTCGTCCGCGTTAGGAGGATCACATTCACATGGGTTAATGTGGTCCCCCCCAATTGAAGGAGTGGATGGAATGAGACACCTCACTACCAAGGCACAAAATTTATGCTATGGTACCAAGCATTACTCATTTTTCTCATATATATATATATATATATATATATATATATATATATAGAGAGAGAGAGAGAGAGAGAAAACGGGAGGTGAGCTACCACCGTAGGAAATTTCCTACGCTTGGGCCATGTGTCAATACCTTATTCGTTGGATACTCATTCATAGAAATAACAGATTTTCGAGTGGTTAAATTTATAAAAGTTAAACGACCTAGATGTAAAAAACACAAATCACTCCTCATTAGTATCTTCCTTTCCTAATTATACAACAAAACCCGCTGTCCTCCTTCCCCAAAAGAATTCCCTTAGCCCTCCTTCCCCAAGCGCCGGCGAAAATCCCTCAGCCCTCCTTCCCCAAGCGTCGGCGAAATCTCTCTGCCCTCCTTCGCCAAGCGCCGACGGCCCTCCTTCACCTTCGTATCCCAAAAGCGCCGCTGATCTCCGCCAATCTCTTCGCCGTACACAACCTAGACGCCGGCACCCTTAGGTACTTTCTCAATCTTTTAAAGGTGGTTTTCGTGAAAAACCCCTAAAATTGACATAGCAAGAACTGTTGCATTCAGTATGATGTCTAGCATGATTCAGCTTCATATAAGGTTGTATGTACATCCTTGGTGATGGACTGATCCTTGACAATAGAGCTACTTCAACAAACAGATAACTCAGTCTAAACTTGTCTTTGTTTTCTGTTTGAGGACTCCTTGCAATTGATGAATAGACAGCATGACCCCTTCGATACTGCTTACCCTATGAAAACTAGCAAAGATGCTTTAGTCTTCATCATCAAATTAAAGAATTGGAGACATCTGGTTGCATATCCATTCAAGTTTAGCATCACGCCCTTTGTTTCTTATCAAGTTCCAATTTTTGGACCTTGTGTGGTCTTTGTTGTTCCCAGTTTGAATTTGATCCACCTGACCGATAGTTTTTTGTCAAGTATTTTGATGTTCTCACTCAGTCACTTGTCAGAAATGGTGAACGAAACTTTCTCCTATCTTGACCAGTGCGCTATCTTTATTCTTGTTTCTTTCAGATATTTCATAGGTTGAGTTCTAAAATTAGACGACTGATCTGATCTTATTTTCAATCTGTGGTCTGACGAAATTCTTTAATTTACAACATGTGGTCTGACAAAATTCTTTAATTTTGAGAAGCTTCTCATGGTTCAAAATTCTTACATCTTCTGTGTTCTTGAATTTTAATTTTAATTTCTAAAATTTTACATGTGTTGTGTAATTTCTTTAATTTTTTGTTCAACTGTTTAATGTATTTTCAATCTTTAAATGATGTGATTATACTAATGGAATTTGATTAATATTGTTTAGGTCAATTTCAATATGGTTGATGTTCATGTAGACAGTTTGATGACTGATAATGTGGAAGGAAGTGGATTTGTTGATTGTAGTAATACAGAGCATGAGTTGGAGCAAGAGAAAATTAATCATGTTAATTCTATTGATAATGGCAAGTCCAATATTGTGGAACCATGGATTGAAATGGAATTTCCCACATATATTGCTGCGTATGATTATTACAATGATTATGCAAAAATAAAAGGATTCAGTGTTCGCATAAGCTCAGGCAATTACTCTAAGAAAGAAGGAAAAGAACTCATATCAAAAAAATTTGTTTGTAATAAGGAGGGTCTAAAATCTACAAATGATAAGAGAGAGCACGGAAAAATAGTAAAGCGTCAAAGAGATACTAGAGTAGGTTGCAAGGCGATGTTGCGGGTGAATCGAACTGATAAAGGAACATGGATAGTGAGCAAACTTGTTAATGAGCATACAAATCATGAGTTGACTAGTCCAGATAAGGTTAAGAATCATTATTCCCATCGAAAGTTACATCGAACAAAAGGTTGTCGAAGTCTGATTGAAATTTGCATGAAGAAGGGCTTCCGCTAGCAACAATTTCACGAGTAATAAATGTTGGTAGTGGAAATCGGGAGGAAATCGTCACACCACAACAATGTAGTGATCATATCAGAAAACAGAGAAAGAATAACATGGGTAATGAATGCATATTAGTCATTCAAAAATTCATAGATAAAAGGACATTTGATCCAGATTTTTATTTTTCTATTGAATTAGATACTACAGGAACTATGAGGGGTGTATTTTGGGCAGATGGACGGGCCTGGGCGTCATTCTTAAAGTTTCATGACATTGTTGTTTTTGATGTTACATATAGAACTAACAAGTTGGCACTGCCTTTTGCTCCATTTACTGGTGTTAACCACCATTGGCAGTTAACTTTATTTGGTTGTGCACTACTTGCAGATGAGGAAGAAGACACATTTGTCTAGTTGTTTACTAAGTGGGTTAAATGTATGAATGAAGTGGCACCACATGCTATTACTACAGACCAGTACAAAGCTATATGCAATGCCATTCAAAGAGTGTTTCCAAATACTCGACATCGATATTGCAAATGGCATCTTGGCAAGCACATGGTTGATCATTTATTATCTCTACGAAAGTTGCATGGAGAAGAGTTTGCGAACTACTTTAATAGATGGTGGCATAGCAAGACAATTGAAACATGAGTTTGCGAACTACTTTAATAGATGGTGGCATAGCAAGACAATTGAAACATGTATTCAGCAATGGGATGAGTTAAAAGAAAAGTTCAATATAGAAGAAAATGAGGAAGGTTGGTTACAAACTATGTACAGAAATAAAACACATTGGGTTCCATGCTATCTCAAAGATACTTTCTTTGCAGGAATGACATCAAGCCAACGTAGTGAAAGTATAAATGCATTCTTTGACACATACGTCAACTCACAAACATTGTTGCCCGACTTTGTTGAGCAATATGATAAAGCAATATTGTCGCGTCATTCTCAAGAATTAAGTGAAGATTTTGCTACTTTGAATACAAAGTCCGTGATGCATCTAAACCATCCGATTGAGATTCAAGCTGGAGAGTCATATGCAAGAGCTATATTTGAGAGGTTTCAAGATGAGCTTAAAGCTTCTGTATCTTTGTTTCATGATGATATGGGAAAAGAAGAATCAATTTCTAAATACATAGTTGGCTCGTTCTCTACTGAAAGAAGTGTATGGGAGCATGTAGTTTATAATCAAAATGAACAAAGAATAACATGTACATGTGCTATGTTTGAGACTGATGGAATATTATGTAGGCATGCCATTCATATTATGATATCGAATCAGTTGGTAAGAATTCTTGAAGAATACATTATGCATAGATGGACAATGAATGCAAGGCACCGTAATATTGGAGTCTCTAATGTGTTGCTGGAAAAAAAACTTTAATAGTAATAGAGAACAATGGAGTACTTTGCGCTCTTGGGCTTTGAGAGCAAAATTTAATAACGTGATGGAATGGGCACCTGAATCACCTATGGTTTTTGAAGAAATAGATACTTTTTTTTCTAACTTGATGGAAAATATGAAAAAGATATCAATGCTAAGCAAATCACGGGGACTGAAGCTACAAGTCGGGTTGAATCTAGTACTCCTTCCCATACTATTGAGAAACTCCCTCAAATCACTATTCGTGACCCTCTCGAGTCTACAAAACATAAGGGACGGCCGAGAACAATTAGCAGATTAAAATCAGGACTTGAACAAGCACAAGGAAAAAAATGAGATAAAAAAGAGGACATGCGGCAGATGTGGTCAAAAAGGATATTATAAAAGTAGTTGCACTAATTCTCTTGTTGCTAACCTGTCAAATAACTAGGTATTTTAATGTTTAATTATAAAAGTAGTTGCACTAATTCTCTTGTTGCTAACCTGTCAAATAACTAGGTATTTTAATGTTTAATTGTTCACAAAGCTATTTACATTAGTTGAGTGATGCATCTTATTTACAGCTAGTTCCATTTATTCAACTGATTCTTGTTTATTTATACAGGCAAAATTTAAAATTCATCATTCGACTCCGAAAAACAACTAGGTATTTTGATGTTTAATTTCTTATAAAGTTAATTGCATATTTACTTAATACTAGGTATTTTGATGTTTAATTTCTTATAAAGTTAATTGCATATTTACTTAATTGATACAACTTGTTTCAGTTTACAAGTCACTTCATGTATTCTTATAAAGTTAATTGCATATTTACTTAATTGATACAACTTGTTTCAGTTTACAAGTCACTTCATGTAGTCATTGATTCGTGTATTTATGCAGATATACACGAGTCCTCTTCATCTGAATTTTTTTGATTATTGTGAAGGCTTCAAATGAGACGATGGTGTTAGACCCTAGAGGGAGGGGGGTGATTAGGGTCTTATTCTAATCTAATCCCGATTAAATTCTAATTAAAATTATATTGATTAATTTGTTCTTGCAAGAAATATATGAGATGGATATGAACAAGAAAGACAAGAATAAGCACAAATAAAAATATACGCTAAGAAAAACATAAACACACGATATGTTTACGAGGTTCGGTCACCACGACCTACGTCCCCGCTCCTCACCTCGAGGAGATCTCCACTATCACAATCCGGCTTGGAAGTCGAAACTTCTACACACTCGGTTTATAAGTTTACCGAAAACTCTCACACAACAAACACTATGCAATCACACTTTACACACTAAGTGTAGGAACCTAGCCCGTGTCCTCCTTCTCAAGTGCTCGGATACAACCTCTCCCTAGGTTCGTCAACCGACGCCACTCCTATTGGATTTGACCCCGTCTCACGCCTCACGTGATACTCACAATAATGGTTAAATACAATGATTTGTTCTCGATAACAAATGAGAACACAATGAAGCTCACTCTCACTAAATCACACACCACTACCCAACAATATATTGTATGGAAATATTATAAGCTCAATAAGGTGTGTGTGATAACAGTGAATGAAAATATGCAACTCAATTAAATATAGTTAAGTTATGAAAATGAATTAATAAGGTATATAAGAAAGAGTTTAGAAAACTTCTCAGTAAACAGGAAGAACAGTAGATGATGATGAGGATAGGATCCTCAGTTGGAATTGAAAGCCTCTTCTTGTTGTAGAAAACTTCTTTTGAAACAGACAACTAAAATCAGCTTAAACAGCTCTTAAACACCTCTTAATCTTTTGTTAAAAACTCACTGTATCAGCTTAAACAGCTCTTAAACACCTCTTAATCTTTTGTTAAAAACTCACTGTAAAACAAACTCTTGGTATCTTGAAAGAGGAATGCAATGGGGTATTTATACCCACTCAAGACATCAGCCCAAACAACCTTGAAAAGACCAAAATAGCCCCAGAGTATCAAATCAGAATATAGTCGTTGGAAAGTAATCATCAGTTCAGCGGTTGATCGTGAGAAATTGGCGGTCGACCGCGAAGCACAAAATCCAAAAGAACGGTTTTGAAAAGCTGGCGGTCGACCGCAAAAGTCTCTGGATGAGCCACGGTCGACCATCACGATCGACCGCGATCCAATAAAATGCATAATTGAAAAAGAACTACTGGCGGGCGATCGTGGCGGTCGACCGCAAACTGATACATGCTGAAATCAGGTTTTGAACCTGTTTTTGGCTGACTTTGAAAATACATAAAAAATATCAAATCATTTTCAAAAATAGTAAAACTTTGGGGAAAGCTTCTAAATGATAAAATAAACATTTTTGAAAAGGAATTTTTAGAAATACAATTTTCGTTTGTGAAAACTCACTGTTTTTGAAAAGTGTTCAGAAAACCTGTTTTCGTGAACATGAAAATTGAACTATGACTTGTAAACTTGTATGTATATATCATGCATACATTATATATATGTAATGAAGTATGAAAGAGATATAAACATGAAATAAAATTTATTGTAACAAAGTTTGATAAAAATCATTTGTATGATATAAAAAGTTAAACTTGTGTTGTGTTTACATATTGAGCTTAAATATAATCATACGATATATGTAAGCAAACTACTCTTATACCTAGGTAAATGCACACACATGAACTTGAACCTTTAACTCTTGATTGTCGTGTGTTGAATTCCTGTAAAGAGAAAAACAAACTACAAAAACTAAAAAACATATTAGCTATAAATTGTTTGACAAATCATCATCAAAACCATAGGGCCAACAATCTCCCCCTTTTTGATGATGGCAAATAATTTATTTAATGTATGAAATTCATATGAATAAACCAAATAAATCATGTAGTTACATATGAATAAACCACATATAAATAAACCACATAACTAAACAACATTACATGTAGTTTTTCCATCAAGATGAATAAACCAATAAATTATACAACAATATGTAGTTTTTCTCCCCCTTTGTCAACATTAAAAAGGGAAAAAATAGGAGTAACACTCCCCCTGCATTCATGCACAGATTATAAATAAATGTATGGCCAATACTCCCCTTGTCAATTTGCATAAATGACATAAAAAGAACATATATAGGAGATAAACATCCATAACCATCCATACACATCCATAAACATCCATAAACATTTGAACAAGCTACTAAAATCATAAACATATGAATCTAAAGCAAAACCAAAATTTTAACACAAATAGCATCCTTAACAGCCTGTTTTCACAATACATTGTTCAGAGGATCTAAAAACCATAAAGAGTCATAAGCTATCATAACTACAATAAACAGAATTAGTTCCACAAGACACAAAGTTTTCAACCACAGATCATAAAGTTATTACAACTTCAAAACAAAAGTTAAATATCCAGTTTCAGTTCTACAAAACATAAATCCATAAACTCAAGTATCAATCACCACCATCATTAGATTCAGATGCAGAGCCAGATCCCGAACCAGAAGCAGATCCTTCTTCAGAGCCCTTTTTAGAACCAGTGTCAGAGCTGGAAGAGGGATCCTGAATCCCAAGAGACTGACGCTGATAGCTAAGAAGAGTCCTAACATCCTTCTGAATGCTCGAGACCTGAGTCTCAAGACAATCCAGACGGTCAAAGACCTCAGAAGCTGAAATAGTGGAAGCTCTAGAACGAGATCGGGAAGATGATGGGTTTGTAGGAGAAGATAAAGAGTCTGAAAGTTGCATTCGAGAGAGGGAAACTCTATCAAAATATTCCTTACTAAGATCAACTTTGGGTTCATGAGACGGAGCAACACCGAAGTGTTGAAGAATAAGAGTGATGAAGCAACCAAATGGTAGAAACTTGAAATGCTTACATGCCATGTTTTTAAGAAAAACGTTTGCCCAATTCACTTTTATCTTGGCAAAAATGGCATACACAACATTGACTTTATCAGGAGCAAAATGATCAAAGCTACCGGTCTTATGAATGAGATTCTGAGCAACAATTCGTGCTATGATTTTGGCTGTGGGATTAAGAGAATTATTAT